GGGGGAAGGAACCCTGCCCACTGCCGGTTCCTCCCGGGGCGGCAACTGGACCCGCGTGTCCGGCCTGGGAAGGGTCCAGGGAGCCCGTCGGTCCTGTGCTGAGGGAGAGCTCTTGCAGGGGGGTGGGATGGCCAGTGACTCTGTCTGCCGGGTCAGGAGCAGGCCTGCCTGGGCTGGGGCGTCTGTCTGTCCATCCCTGGCCAGGCTAAGTCCTTGCGCAAGGCGCCCTACCTGTGGACCCGGCTGAGGACGCCAGGCCGGCGGCCGCGGTGGTGCAGGGACCCAGCCCGGGCCACGCACGCGGCCCCCAGGCTGCTCTCCGGCCCTGGTCCCGGGCCCCGAACCCCGACCCCGCGGGGCCCGCCACAGCGACCGCGACCCCTTCCCTGGCGCGCGCCTCACCCGCCTCGCGTCAGTCACCGCTGCAGGCCCCGCCCCGTACCGTGCGACCTGCCGGGCTTGGAGGGGGCGAGGACGGGGACGGCGGGCGCGGGGAACCGTGAAATCGCCCTGGAGGCGACTCCGAGAGCCCAGAGGGCCCAGGCTCGGGGAACGAGCTCAGGCTGAGAAGGACAGGCCGCCGCCGAACGAATCCACCTCACCCATCACCCACCCCCACCGGGACGCTAACAAGTACTTGCTCGAGGATCCGGCAGGCTTTGCGCCCGGAAGGCACGGCTTTCGGCGGAAGGGGCGCGGCTACGTGTGAAGGGGCGTGGGCTCGCCGGCCAAAGGACCACGTGTCTGGGCGGGCAAGAGAAGCAAAGCGCCAGCCGCGTAGTGGACAGATCTTCCTCCGCTCGGAATGGGGTTTCATCCCGTTTGTAAGTCCAAGATGCATTTAATACCCCTAACCCACCCAACATCATAGCTTAGCGTAACCTACCTAAAACTTGCTCAGAACAATTCCATTTCAAATTCCAAATTTGAAATACGGTTCCTACTGAATATGTATTGCTTTTGCACCACTGTAAAGTCAAAACACTGTAAGTGGAAGCATGGAAATCCTGGAACCGTCTGTAACTAAGAGAAGGTAAGTGAAACAACAGATGCAGGAAGGGCAGGGCGTTTGCGGAGCCCCAGGAGAGGAGCAAGAGGTACTGGCGTATAGGTAGTTTAGATCGTGAAAGCACTTGTCTGCCACGTGAACAATACCCCGAGGAAGCAGATGGAAGTTAAGGAAGTGAGAGGCCTGGTAAGATTCACCTTTTATAAACAACTCTGGTGGCAGCTCAGAGGAGAGCATGTGGTTTCTTTTAGGATCCATCAGGGAAGGTGTAAATAGGGAACCAGAACTTGGGGTACACACTGTACCTGACACCACTCCGGAAACAGGGCTTCACAGAGAAGAGGAGCGCCAGTGAGTGAAGGGGATAATTTCAGAACAAATAAAATTTTGCCATTTAAAATACCATTCAAGTAATTGGACCAGCGACAAAGCATTATCTGGTGGCTTGTTTTTTTGAGGTGCTTTGCATGTGCCAGGCACCACGCTGAATTTTAGCTGTGTTTTCTCCTTCAGTGCCAACAAAAGCCCTGAAACTGTTTCTTCTTTGCAGACGAGGAGACGATGGTGAAACTACTAAACCTGGGCTCCTGAGCACTAACCAGCTTGTGGGGAGACAGCGTCCGACCACCGTGTGGCTCACCCACTTTGTTGTACAGATGAGGAGACCGAAGAAACGAGGATCATGGACTCATAATAATTGGTGGTGTTAGAATTCGAACAGTAATAACCTGCCAGGCATTCCTCCTGCTACACCACGCTACCCTGTGTGGAGACTCATTCATTTGTTCACCTCATAACAGTGTACTAACACTGTCACACTGCGCTCACTCTGGAACCGGCAACTGCACTAAGCAGTTTAGAGATACTCATTTGACCCTCACCACAACGCTTTTCTCCAATTTATATTTGAGGACACAGGCACAGAGAAGTTATGACTTGCCGGGCACCAAATACCTATTGATTGAGCACCTGCTATGTGCCAGACCCTGTTCCAGAGGACAGAGATACAGCCGTGAACAAAACACAGCGCTGCCCCAGAGAGCTTACATGCTAGACATGGGAAGTTCTCGTAGATCATAAAGGCCAGGGGGCTGGAAAAATAAAGCAGGGCAGGGGGACAGAGTAGATGCCCTTGGAGGTCTGTATGAAAAGAAAGGGCAGGTTATACTTGCTAATAATTTAAATAAACTTTGCAGCCCAACTCGCCTAAAGATCTTCATGATGCACACTGAATACAGTGAGTGCAAACTCTTATTTTTTATTGTCCTGTGGCTACATCAGAAAGAACCCTTGAGCCTCAGGTACCGAGATCAGGAAGATGGTTTTCTGAATGCCAGGCGTTCAGAGCTGGCAGACTGTGGGCACCGCAGAAGCCCCTTGTCCCTTTCAACGTTAACCTAATAAATATTAATATCCGGCTCTGGTGACTGGTGCACAGGTTCACATTGCAGCCTCGGCGGCGGCTGGACTCTTCCAGCTCCGCCCCGCTCTCCGCCCCACACTCTGGGCGCGCAGCCTGTCGACCCGCCGGGGCTCCGAGCCGAGCACGCTTACTGTCGGCCCGCCTCGCGGGGCGCCGGCCACATCCGGGGCTCGGGGGCCCGCGCGGTTGCCATGGCAGCGGGGTCGCGGCGGGCGCGCGGGCAGGCCCGGGGGCTGGCGGTCGGCGGAGCCCCAGAACCGGACGGCCGTACTCGCAGCGCCTAGGGGCGATCGGGCAGCGCCGCCGCCATGTCCCTGAGCACCGGGGAGCCGGCCTCGGAGACGGTAAGCGCGGAGGGCGGGGAGGTCCCCTGGCTGCCTCCCCTCGCCGGGGCGCGGGCTGGAGGAAGGGGGCGCGGGGCCGGCGACCGCCGGTGACAGCTGCCATTGTTGTTACCGCGTAAGAGCCGGCCTCCGGTCCCCGCCCGCGTGCGGCTGGCCGGGCGTCGCCGCCCCTCGCCCAGCCTCCAGCCACCTCTAGTCCCCCGCTCGTCCTTGCACTGGACGTCGCTTCCGGAAAGCCCTCCCGGACACTGCGCCCTCGCTGCTCGGCGCCTGCGAAGTCGGGCCTGTGCCGAGCCAGCGACCGCGGCCCGCCGGGTGACAGAGCTCACTGCGTAAGTGTCCGCCCACCCCGTGCCTCCAGGGCGGGGAACTTGGTTTACCTAGTGTTTCTGGCGCGCCAGCCATCTGCTGGAGACATTATTGTGGATGAATAAACTGCATTCCAGTGGCGTGGGGGGGGGTGGGGTGGGGTGGGGTGGGGTGGGGGAGAACAAGGTAAAAAACAGATCATGTCCATCAAGTCAGAAAGTGGAAAGTGCGCTGCAGAAAATAAAACAGCCCATGTGACGGAGGTGGACTGGGGAGGCTGCTTTAGACTGGGTGCCAGGAACAGCCACTCTGAGAAGTTGGAGTGTCCTGATGTCACTGATGAGAAGGAGGCAGTCTGGTAAAGATCAGAGAGCAGTGGGACCAGCAGGTGCAAAGGTCCCGGGGTGGGAAAGTGCAGTGGTTCCAGGGCCTGAAAGAAAGCTTGCTGGGGTCTCCTCAAGGGCATGGGTGTGGATGGAAGGGAGCCACGGGCCTGACCATGGAGAGCCTTCCAGGCCATGCACGGAGTTTGAATTTATTCGGGCCACAGTGGGAAGCCTTTGGAGGGCTCCAGACAAAGGGAACCTGGCTCACTTAGCTTCCTTCTCCCAGAGATGGCAGTACCCAGCATGGCTGTGCAGAGCTCACCCCAAGCAGGGGCTCAGTGCTGCTGCCACTGGAGCTGCTGAAAGTTTCCTACTTGTCCCTCAAGGCACCAAGTCCTGCCTCATCTGGAAGGCCTGCCTGTCTACAGTGGCCTCAGTTACTGCTCCTTCACCTTCTCATATTGTTATTATAAATGTTACTCATGCCCAGTAGAGAAAATCAATTACCCATAATCTAACTGCCTGCAGAAAACCACAGTTACTGTTTGGTGTATTTCCTTCTGACCTTTTTTCAATGCATCTTTTTTTTTTTCATATGCTTTTTAAAACTTGAGATCATATTTATATTGTTTTGTAACCTTTGCCATTTCATTTATTCCTAGCATCTCCCCATATCCACACATTTTCAAAAACATGATTTTTAAAATTCTAACTTTATATATATATATATATACATATAAGTGAATCACTTTGCTGTGCACCTGAAACTAACACAACATTGTAAATCAACTACACTTCAATTTTTTAAAAAAAGAAATACATCAAAGACAACTACTGTATCATCTCACTTACATATGGAATGTAAACAGCAAGGATTTACCATATAGCACAGGGAACTATATTCAATACCTTGTAATAACCTATAATTGAAAAGAATTTGAAAAAATATACGTCTAATATAACTGAATCAATTTACTGTACACCTGAAACTAACACAATGCTGTAAATCAACTACACTTCAATTTAAAAAAAAGTTTTTTAAAAACTCTAACATGGGAATTCCCTGGCGGTCCAGTGGTTAAGACTCCGTGCTTCCACTGCAGGGGGCACAGGTTTGATCCCTGGTGGGGTAACTAACATCTCGCCTGCCGTGTGGCATGGCCTAAATAAATAAATAAATAATCTCGACAATTATTACTCATGCAAAAATGGAAAGATAATATTTTTAAAAAATAAAAATTAAAACGCTAACCTAATAGGATAGCCCTATTTTAACTCTCCATTTCCTTGTTTTTACTCTTTTTTTTAAAATTTATTTATTTTACTTACATTTATTTTTGGCTGCATTGGGTCTTCATTGCTGCGCGCGGGCTTTTTCTAGTTGCGGCAAGCGGGGGCTACTCTTCCTTGCGGTGCGAGGGCTTGTCATTCCGGTGGCTTCTCTTGTTGCTGGTGAGCTCAGGCTCTAGAGCACAGGCTTCGTAGTTTTGGCGCACAGGCTTAGTTGCTCCGTGGCATGTGGGATCTTCCTGGACCAGGGCTCGAACCCGTGTCCTGTGCATTGGCAGGCAGATTCTTAACCACTGCACCACCAGGGAAGCTCACTTTTACTCTCTTGTTTTCACGTTTGTGCTGTTAGAAACAATGCTGCTGTAAACGTTCTTGCACATAGAAGCGTTCGTTAAGCCCCTTATACATGCCGGCCTCTGAGGACACAAAGACAAGCTGAGCCCCAGTGCCTTGGTCTCCAGGAACCCAGTCTGTGGAAGAGGCTGGGGCAGGGCTCTCCGGGCATTTAGGAGACTCGCCGCCCTTGGCCCAGGCTAACTGGCAATTTCTCTGCTGAGCTTACGTCCGTTCTCAACCAGACAAGAACCTCCTGTGAACAGGCACTGTCCAGTCTGTCCAATCCCCCGAGTCCCTTGGAACACAGCCGCCTCTGGGCTTGCTCGTGAACTTCACAGAGCACTTACCTTGGTGCCAGGGAGCCCACTGTGCCATGGCCATGAGCAGGCCCCGCTGGCCAGGGCAGAGCCACAAGGGTGAAGTGGAGCCTGGGCGTGGTCCCTGGTGTTTTAAGGGCCAACGCTTCTAAAAGGGCTCACAGTTTCTAGAGCAAGATAATAAGAGCATCTACAGGGCGTTTACTACTTTTAAGATTCTCTGTTCCCTGCTCTACGGCTCTCCCTGCTCTAGAAGCCTTTGTCCGCCAGGTCCATCATCTGGGCCCTTAAATAGTTTCTATTGCCTGCTCCTTCCCCCTGTATATTGGTCACACTTTCCTGTTTCTCTGTGTGTCTCGTCATTTTTTGTTGAAAACTAGACATTTAGATAACATATGACAGCAACTCCTCCCCACGGGGTTGATGTGGTTTGCTCAGTCGTTCATTTATGTGCTGAGTGACTTGGCTGAGCTAACTGTGTGAAGTCGATTTCCCCGCACCGTGCAGCCTCTGTTTCCCTGCTCAGATTTTTTCTTGTTTAAATCTTTTAGCCCAACTACCTGGGGGTTACCCTTGGGTCAGCAGAAGCCACTTGTTGGTCAGAGGTTGTGTTTCACCCCCTGGGCCGGTCAGATTTTTGCCCTTGACCATTGAGTGGTGTGTGTGTGTGTGTGTGTGTGTGTGTGTGTGTGTTGGCTGCTGTCACCGTTCAGGGGTTTACATTTTTGCCCATGTGCAACGGGGAGCTATCGCATATGGGTTTTCCCTCTCCCATCTCTCCTGAGAGGGCAACCTCGGACATGCGTGTGGTTCTCTGGACTTCCGGGGATGCCTGTCATTGTACTTTGAAGCCTGGCTTCCTGGGGTCTGCTCTTGGGTCAGGGTAGTTTATCATTCAGCCAGGGTTTGGTCAGCAGTTGCGCCAAAGCCCCAGCACCACCAGGGCTCACGCCCTTTGGTTGATGTGGGTGCAGCGTGGGGACTGTGTCTGCGTCGTCCCAAGCCTGCTCTGACAGAGCACTCCAGTGCTTGCCAGCGGCCTCCCTGAGCCTGGGGGCTGACCGCGACCTCAGGAGGGCGCTCTGGGCTCTTCACCTTCTGGTTGGTCTGCCAGTGAGCTCTCTGCTGCGTGACCGCGGAGCTGGGGGCCTCGGGATCGCTCCCCACTTTGTCTGCAACTTGGCAATGGAATCGGGGAGGCGTGCAATTCTCCACTCTCTGGTACAAATACAGTCAGTCCCCTCGGCACAGCCATCGTCCTGCCTCTCCCTTTGGGGAGGACCTCTGGGCCACTGCACAGCAGGGACAGCGCAGTGTTTCCCCGGAGTGACACTCCTTCTGGGCCTGCCCCTCCCTGCGTGGACCCTCTGCCCTACAAGCACAGGGGAAGTCTTAGCCTGCCGCCTCTGGGGTAGAGCTTACACCCTACTTCTGGGAGCTGGGGGCAGGGGATCCACCACCACCCCTGTTGTGTTGACTGCACCCGCCTGGAGGAGACCTCTCTGGAATCCTTTCTATCAGATGGAGACGGGGAGCTGAGGGGTGCCCCTGACTCTCGACGTTCTTCCCTGGACTTAGTAGATATTTTTGAATCAATTTTTCTCCATAGCTGTGTGCTTTAAGTCAGTTTCCAGAAACTGCAAAAGATTGATTGTTCCGTGGCTTCTTGTGTTAAAGGGTTGTTTGTTGAGGAGAGGGCCTTCCACGCTCTGGAAGATGCCTCCTGGATGAATGCATTCCTTCCCCGCTTTTACCATATACTAAGTCCCCGTATGTTCCTGCATCTCTTTCTGGACACTATGTCTTTTTTTCCCAGTGTTTTAATTAGTATATATTTAATGCTTTAAAAATCCTGGTAGGAGAACGTGTCCTCCTTTGTCGACGAGGAAGCTGTGATGCAGAGGGGTGAGGGGCATGGCCACCATCACCGCCCTGCGATGCCTGACTCACGGTGCATGAATGCGATCTCTTGTAGGAATGCATGGCAGCGCAGATCATACTTGGAGAAGGAAGAATGACTCGGCCGTTAACGTGCTCTTTTGTTTCTTTTTTTAATACTGTATATGGTCTCTTTCATGCTGCTGACTGAAGGGGTGGATCTTGGGCTGTTCTATGATTTCAGATACTTATATTTTGCTTTTTTAGTTCCTTCTGACTGGCAGGATGGAGGGTAGCAGAGTTTGAGGGGGACTGACTGGGGGGGAAAGCGATGGTGTGGGTGAGCCCACCTATGAACACAGAGACCACTTTGCTGTGTTCACCACACATGTAACCTCATTCCCTCGTAGAAACTGCAGGTCCTTAAAAAGTTTTCAAGACTTTATTCAGAACAAAGAATAGTGACAAGTATTCACAAAAGAAAGTATTGCTACTTTTCTATGCAGTTGTTAACGACTCACCTTCATGGTTGGCGGGCTGCCCTTTGTGATGCCAGGGGACGAAGACTGAGCTTTTGACTGGCTTTCCTGATCTCTTACGTCGTGTGTATACCAGTTCCCTGCCTTCCCTGCCTCAATTTTGCACATCATTTCCATATACTTGGTTCAATGAAAACTTTATAACTATCGTTTGCTATTTATACCTTAAAATGTCACCTGTTTAATGACATCAAAAAAGTAATTCAGTGGCTGATTTTTTAAAGATTCTGTTTGTTTGGAACGCACTACCTTCCCCCTCGTCCCCCGAATCCAGTCCCTCTGCACCCTTACGCTGGACTCTCCTTGTTTAAGAGGCGTGCACCGGAAGGGTGCCCCCTGTTACAGCTGCCCCCTGTCCGTGTGACTGTGAGGCCATACGTTTTTAGTAAAAGTTCAAGCGGCCAGCAGAATTGTTGCTAATGTACTGAGAGTTAACCGTGTAGACGATACACGTGCTTTCCAGAATGCAGTCCAGTCCCGCTACAGCAGCGCATGGACTCAGCTACACTCCAGACAGCTCGCTGAAACGTAATTACACGGCCACCCAGATATGGCATTATTGGTTCATAATAGGGGCATTCAATCCTAACTTCAGTATCAGCGTTTTAGGTCAACTGCACAGTATGGTGAAGGCATTTTAGAAATTGTTCTGCTTTCTCTCTTTGTAGGGTTTAAACCTGAGTAAGTGTGTTAACACAGACACATCATTCTCTTGGGAAAGTTCCCTTTTCTCCTTGACATGCCAGTGCCGATGTTAGTACAGATTTTATTTCACTCCCTGGGCCAGGGCAGATTACTGGAATCAGAAGGTAGGAACGTCTATACGCCCAAATAACTCGTGTACTGATGGATACGTGAATGACTGCTTTGTTCTCACCAGGATGTAGTCACGGGTTCCTCGTGCTTTGATACAAAGATGAAATACTTTTATCAAGAACCATTCGTTGGGGGAGGGATAAATTAGGAGTATGGAATTAACAGATACACGCTACTGTATATAAAATAGACAAACAACAAGGATTTACTATGTAGCTCAGGGAACTATATTCAATATCTTGTAATAGCCTATAATGAAAAGAATCTGAAATATGTATATATGTAACTGAATCACTGATGTACAGCTGAAACTAACAGTATTGTAAACCAACTATAGTTCAATTAAATTAAAAAGAAAAGAAGCGTTTGTCAATTCTGTGGAGATGGTGTCGCTAGACTGACAGGCCTGGAGCAGCCCTGCCAGCAGAGTTTTTGGGTTTTTTGTTTGTTTGTTTGTTTTTAAACATCTTCATTGGAGTATAATTGCTTTACAATGGTGTGTTAGTTTCTGCTTTATAGCAAAGTGAATCAGTTATACATATACATATGTTCCCATATCTCTTCCCTCTTGCGTCTCCCTCCCTCCCACCCTCCCTATCCCACCTTGGTGGTTTGTGACCACCTAGAGGGGTGGGGCCAGCAGAGTTTTGTCCTGTGTCCCCACCTGTTCCTTCGGATGCGACGGGACAGACTGGCTGCTCCTGCTGTGAGTGTTGTGGACGGATGCTCTGAGTTGGATGGGGGCTCTCTGGCCGCAGCACGGCCTGGCCCGGCCGCTCCCACTCTGTCAGGGTGACTGTGGAGCCAAGCTGGCACCTGAAGCTTTCGCTGTTTGCATCTCTTCCTCCAGGGAGATGACAGCCTGTCTGCAATAACCTTTGACTCCGACTCAGAGATGGTGAGTGCAGGGGAGGGGAGGCGTGGTTGCCCAGGTTTCCCTTTCCACGGTACTCACACGCGGCCTCCCCACAAGTGCTGTGTTTAGCGCCCCATCACAAATTCCAAATGCTGCTCCGAGTTTGAAAAGCTCCAAGCCCTCAGGTGGATTTGAATAACTTAGATTATAATTTTAAAACTTTTACCCAGAAGTTAGTCGTGAGCTGAGTACTTTTGAGGCTGATGACAAGTTATCCCGCATCTGGTTTTGGCCTGCACTCCTCCCGCCCCCAGCCCCCCAATCCTGACACGTAACCGGGGCCCGGGGGGGAGGGGGCGCGGGGCGGGAGCAGAGCTCTGTGATGCAGTCGGAGGCTGAGTGTGAGAAAGGAGACCTTGGCAGGTGCTTGGCAGGTGCTTGCCTCCCAGCAGATAAATTCTAGCCTAACCACAGCAAGTAGCCCTGGGGGAAGGTGGCCCCGGCACGTCCCACTGCAACTCTGGGGACTCCAGGGGCAGCATCCTGGGCCTGTTGTCTGAGGCACAGGACCTCCGCAGAGCTAAGAGTGTTCCCTCCACGCCACTGAGGACACAGGCCCAAGATGCTCCCAGGAGGAGGAGGGATCCAGACCAATCTCCTGGGGGAAAGTCAGCCTGCACGGAGCACTTCAGTGTTCCCGCTGGCAGGGAAGTAAGTGGGATTCTCTGCCCGGTGTGAAGCAGATCGGGGAAGAAGGCATGGAAGGGGCCCCCGGGTTCCAGGCGGGCCACTCCTGCTGCACCTTCCCCTCTGCCTCACTCTCAGGTTTCATCTTGCTAAGTCCCCCCCTGCAGACAGTCCCAGCCCCGTGCTCCAGGGGGGCGTGGGGACAGCTGGTGGTACCTTCAGGGCGGATTTGAGTCGGCACACCCCAGTCTCTGCTGGACGCAGGCCGGGCTGCTGCTCCTGTGTCTGGGGGCGCCTCCCTGTGCCCTCCTTTGCGTGCATTCTGCTTTGGCCGGTTAATCTGCTGCCCCCGCCCATTCTGCACACCCCGGTGCTTCCTGGTTGGGCCCGTTTGGGCTGCTCGAGAAGGCTCAACCCGCTTTCCATCATTTCTTCTTCCTTTCAGAAAGCGAAAAGGAAAAGTTTCCACAGACCTCCCCCTACATCACCGAGTAAGTATGGCCAGGCCCCCGTCCCTCAAGTTTCCACAGTTTAACTCAGAACATGGTGGTTGGAAGCCCTCCTTCTCCAGCGTCCTGTGAGGAAGGTCAGGACCGCCTCCTCTGAACCCTTAGGGCCACTGAGGCACAGCCCTTCTGCCACTCGGCTCCGTGTCGTGTTGGGACCTCAGGCGCTCACTCCCGGGGTCACCGCCCCCCGCAGGCGTCCCAGTGGGCGGAGGTCCAGCGAGGGCTGAGGTCCCGAGCTGTCACTGTCCCACTGAGCCCCCCTCCTCCCTCCCACACACACAGTGCTTTGCGGCCTTTCACGTCCTCTTTCTCAAGTCGCCATACGCTTCCCAGCGCTGCCAAAGTGAAGAAAACGGAGGATTTATTCCTCGAGACACAAAGCTGTTCATCTGGGTGCTTTGCTGAATTTTATGTTTCCCGAGGCCTTTGCGACAAACCAGATCCTAGATTGGCTTCCTTTCGCTGCCCACAAGCCTGTGGCCTTGCCTGACTTATTATCTATGTGTGTACAATATGTGTATGCTTACATTTCTTATATCATAAGTATTTGAAACATACTGTCTTATGTATGACACACTCAGAGAATACAAGTGAACTTTCATATTAGCCCAGGAACAACATAATCAGAAAGATAAATTCCTGCAAAGAGAAGAAAGCATGTTTTATATTACAAACAAGTACAAGCGTTAGAAAGAAACCATCTAGCAATCTGGATTTTGGTGGTCCTGGCTCTCCTTCCGTGGAGAAAATTGAGAATTGATATAAAGTGAAAGTACGGGTGTTTATGTTTTAAACCTTCTCTTTTCAAGACCATTTTGTTTCAGTCCTTCTTGTCTAGAAAGTACCTAAGATAAATGTCAGACACCTCTCATTATCCTTGCTGGAAGTCAAGCATTTCAAGTGTTGAAAATGCTAGTAATCAAATTACCTTTATCTCGATTTCTATAAATGTCAGAATTGCGTTTCACATGATTTAGGATGGCCAGAACCCCCAAAGCATTAAAACCCCCTGAGAGGTGTGCTGTCACTCAGTGGCCCTGCCCGCCCCCCAGCGTGCTGTCCCCCGGCCATGCCTGACGCCTGTCCCCGCAGCAGCGCTGAACCCAGGCACCTTGCTCATGCAACATGGACACCGCGACAGGACGCTCTGTGTCCCCTCCCTGGGACACCCCCAGCCCGCCCTCCTGACGCTCCCTTAATAGCTGTGCGCCTGTCTGATTTCCGGGCCGTGACAGAAGGAGTCATGCCTGTCCCGTTCGCTTCATAAGTGGTTCTCTTCACTGCCCGGCCCGGGGCCACGTGGGTTTGCAGCTACCCGCACTCTGAGATTTTCGGGCCTCACAGCGCTCCGAGGAGGGCGGGGCGGGCGGCCAGTTTCCGGTCCTTCCACGCCGACAGGTTTCCACCGCCTGCTGCCTTTTTTCTTCTACCTTCGCAGCTCTACCCATAGGCGTACGTGTTTGGGAATCCTTACTACTTATGGATAAATCCCATGCATTTAGGAGGGAAATGTCGTTTGTGGGTTTTTTCCGATCACTAATTTACCTTCCTAAATGAGCACTTAGATGGATGTTTAAAGTTTCGAAGGCCTTCCAAATGTCCTGGAAGTTGAGCACAGTGGTCCTGGAGGAGTGGAAATGCCTCAGGGTCCAATGTGTCCTTATTCCTTCACCCTAAACAATAATGGGAAATTTTCCATAAATTCTGAAGCCGTGGAAAAATCTTAGAAATTTTAAAAATTAAATGTATTAGATTTAGAATCCCAGGACCTTCTACAGATATAAATTTCTTTGGTATTTAAGAAATATAAGCATGTTTTATGAATAGCTTGGTTTTGCATAAGTTTGCATCATCTCCATATTTCACATAATTAGAGGTAAGATTCCAGATTAAAATATAATTTTAAAACCTTTCCGTTGTTTTGATGACAAAATCAAAAATGCCCTGGAAAAATATACTTTTTTCCTCATTTCTTCTAGCCGTTTTACATATCAAGTTCTAAATATTATTACTTGCACGCTATGTATTGACAGCAACATGGAAAAATATTTACCGTGTTAAGTATAAAGGATACAAAATTGTGTGTTCACTATGACTGCAGCTATATAAAAATACATATTCATCTGAAAAAATTGAATGGGAAATTAAGTACTGTAATATTGGTAGAATTTTAGATTCATATTTTTAAATAAATGTCCCTTTATTTCTCTATAATAAAAAGTAAAAAACAAATGTAAGTGTACCTACAAATCATAACTATAGTTTTAATTTTTGTCAGAATGTGTTCATCTGGGGTTGTCATGCCCTTGTGAATATTTTGCTTTATCATTTTTGTCTCTCTGAAGCACATATGTTGAGCGGGCATTGATACCTTGCACCTCTAAAACCACACATTGGCTTTTTAGAGTCACCTTATCACTCTAAGCCGAGAAAAGTGGCCTCCTGGAGGTCTCTGAGGACAGCCGGCAGCGTGCCTCTCGGGAGCCGAGTGTCCTTAACCCCCCAGAAGCTGTGGCTGGGAAGCTCAAAGCAAGGTATGTGGTCGCCCGGGAGAAACCCTTCCTGCTCAAGGGGAGCGTCTTAGAAATCTCGGGCGGTGACTTGGCACAGAGCGTTTAATACGACTCGTTTGAGCCGCACTGTTTTTGATCTTCTCAAAGACGTCGCGCCTCACGGCTTTTACGCAGCATGTGGTTTGCTTCCTGACGTTTTGCCGCCTGGGTCTTGGCTTGTCTGGGCGCTGCGGGAAGTCGTGTGTTGGAGCTGCTCCTGCTGGCTTGAGGAGTTGTGTGAGCTGTCCCATGTCACACCGGCAGCTTGAGATCGGGTGTGCCGGGGATACGCACACCGCGGGAGTGGGCAAACGCCACACATCAGGGCTTTGTTTATTTTGCGGGCCGGTGGCTGGACGTTTCTCACACACCACTGGTCTCCCTAAGCTTTCTTCAACCCTGAAGACTGATTATTAGAGGCAGCGCCTTACGTTGTCTCTGCTTGTACCTGTCATGTTAAATCCATGCACGTTGAAACCAGGAAGTCTGACCCCAGCCCTGAAATCAGACCTCACCTTGGAGCGTGCATGGACCAACAGCCCCCCCAGCAGCACCCCTGGCTGTTTGACCGAAGCGGAAAGAATGCAGAGGTCAAATCTCAGGCGTTCTGCCAGCCACGGTGAGCACGTTGATGGTGACACAGCCACGACCGAGGAAAAGCAGAGTGGAAGGGCATGGGGATTGGTGGGTGTGCTCTGACAAAGTGAGATCTGGGGCTCCCTCAGTCACAGTGTCCTGAGGACAGTAGCCCCTGAAAGTCCATCCTGCCCTCCTAGAAAGAGGCTTTCCCGATGTGGACAGAGACATCGTCCCGGGCTTCAGTGGTGCCTATCTCCCTAAACTTAGAGTTGTATTTAAATTTGTTGTATAAACAATCTCAGAAATGAAAACTGCAAGGATAATAAAAACCCCAGATCTCACCAAAAAGAATCGGTGGGTTTTCATGTTTCTGTCTTCCTGTCTGGTCTTACCCACGTGCTTCCTCCCTCAGCTTGACTGCTTTGCTTGTCGGCCCTGGCCCCGTGGGAAGCACAGAGGAACCTTGTCCTGGTGCCAGGGATGGTCACCTTGCCGCACTGCTAGCTGGCAGCGCTGTTTCAGGCTGGTGTGCTTCAGAGTCCTGACCCCTTAGGGATCACATGGAAGCAGAGAGCAGTGTACACTGTACCTACCGTTAGACATCAGACTGGGTGCTGTCATCTGCGTGATGACGTGACCACGTTTGTTTTTGTTTGTCTTTTTATCTGTTTGCTGTTTAAAATCTAAAGACAGCACTTCTCTTGACCCGCTCCGTTAATCCTTTTACTATAATTAAGCCCCGCGTTCACATCTTTTAGTTTTCTCTTGCTGCTTCTTTCTATATCAATACCGGTTTTGGTTTCCTTACTTCTGGGGAAAGAAGTTAAAAAAAAGAAAAAAGGATAATTTCATTAACCTCCAGGTTTCCCTTAAGGTATGGCCAAGAATTCCTTCTACTTTGCAGACAGTGTTTTCAGAGGGTTGTGTGTCTCCCTGCAGGTTGTGTTCCTGGGACCGCTGTCTACAGAGAGAAGGAGGGCATGTATGACGAGATCATTGAGTTGAAGAAGGTAGTGTTTCCCTCTGTTCTCTGTTGACTTTAAGCGGGAAAAGCCCTCGGTAACGTGGATGGAAAGTCACACCTGTGCTGGGATGTGTTGCTTGGGAAATAGGAGCTGTAGCGTGACGGCTGAGTTTAAACCCCGGCCCGGTGCCTGAGCAGCTGGGCGGCACTGGCTCACGGAGAGGGCCTCGAGCCCGCTGTGAGAGGAGCCTGGACAGCAGTTAGAGCCCGCCGTGCTCTGCTTCCGCGGCCCCCACGGTGGACAGCACCCGGGGAGGTCTAGATTAACTCCAGTCCCTCTGCGCCCTGAGACTTGGCCTTATGATAGGTCTTTTGGTGGTATTATTATCAATAACTTCCCGTTTGCATAATTCTTTGGTGTTAAGGGCATTTCACTTCACCAGCCTCATCTCAGTTGATGTCCACAAGGGCCCCAAGAGATATAGGTCATGGCCTTGAGATTCAGAGAGGTGAGTAGCCTCTCCAAGGTTAACCAGTAGTAGAACCAGGATTTCCATCAAGGTCACCTGCCACCCGTTCCCTAAGGCACAAACTGCACTGCAGTAAATGACATCATCCTCACCTGCTTCACCGTCACCAAACCGGTCTTTAACAGCCACACATATTCTTGTGCCGCTGGAGAAACGACTGGGGTTCCTTCCCTTCCGTCACGTGAGTCTGTTCACAGACCTGACGTCCCGACCCCGACCCCGCGGCTCCAGAGCCGCGTCTGGAGGGCTGTGATCAGTCTGGGCAGCAGAGGTTAAGCAGGGCGTTGGTGGCCAGCATGCCCAGAGCACGTGAGGAGTCTAGAAGCCAACTCGCCTGAGGGGCACCGGGCCAGGGCCCGTGGACGGGACCCAGCCCTCACCTGCAGGAGCTGCACAGCAGTGCAGGGCCCGCCCGATGAGTCAGGACGTCCCTGTCCGGAGATGTGTTAAGAGAATCGGGCACCGCAGGGAGTGTTGCTATCTTGGTGAGGGGACCGTACCGGTACCGCGTGAGCTCTGAGAGCCCTGAACAATCGCTGCAGCGACGCTCTCGGGAGGAACCTGCCTCGGGCCAGAAATGGGTCTCTGGGTAAAACGATGCTGACTTCACTCAAACTAAATAAGCCAAGGCTTCTCTCCAGAGAGGAGAGAGTTTTATCTTCAAGACTGTCGCTCTGGCAGCTGGAGCATCAGGGTAGTTTTTCTCGGGCAGGTAATGCCTCAGTTTCCTGTAGAAAAATGGGGATAATCATAATACAATTTCATAGGGTTTTGTGAGGATTCGATAAAATAATCCATGAAGGGGCTTTAGTACAGGGTTTGTAGCTGTGCTAAGCACGAGAAATAGGGGAAAGTGACTGCACTTTTCTGGAATCCATATTTCTCGAAGCAGAATTCCCGGTATTGGATTTCTTATCTTTCCCAGTGACCGTGCATTAATTGACTAACTCATAAACACTTGTGAGGGCCAGTAGCTCTACCTGCTGGCTGTGGCCATGTGGCCGACTCCCCAGGCTTCCCTCAGTGGGGCGCACACTTGGAATTGTCTTTCCAGTGCTGGGGGCTGGCTGTGTTCAGACACTTCGGACTCTCTTCTGAGCACCACGAGTCCCTTGAAAGGAGGACTTCTCCAGGATAACTGGCTGATTTGGGTGCAGGCTGGTGCTGGATGCCGGTTAACCACGGCACTAGCCGACCCGTGTGGGCATTTCCAGACGAGGCTTACGAGCACTGTCTTTACCTTACGCTTTTCAGGCTGTGGGGTTTCCCGGACTAGGGAAAAGCTTTTTCAAGTGAGGACGTTGAAAACAAACTTTAAAAATACCCTACCATCACCATTTCATAAAAGACCTATATATGTCCGAAATAATAGGAAGGGCATAATTTCAAAGTACAGGAGAGTGGTAAAAGTTGAATAAACTTAGTTTTATGGGGCTTCCCTGGTGGCGCAGTGGCTGGGAGTCCGCCTGCCGACGCAGGGGACGCGGGGTCGTGCCCCGGTCCGGGAAGATCCCACGTGCCGCGGAGCGGCTGGGCCCGTGAGCCGTGGCCGCTGAGCCTGCGCGGCCGGCGCCGATGCAGGGGACACGGGTTCGTGCCCCGGTTCGGGAGGATCCCACATGCCGCGGAGCGGCTGCCCCCGTGGGCCGTGGCCGCTGAGCCTGCGCGTCCGGAGCCTGCGCTCCGCAGCGGGAGAGGCCGCAGCAGTGAGAGGCCCGCGTGCCGCAAAAAACAAAAACAAAAAAAAGAAACTTAGTTTTACGAAAAACTGACAGTCTTCCCTCTAAGTTCACCCCAGACTGGTGAAAAGTTCATCCACAGGTAAACGTTTGGGAACCACTGCTCTGACCAACTGAGCCTTAGTTGAGGATAAGAATTTTAAATGCACATAAGACTGATGGTGTGTGGTGTGTGAAGAACATGGGCTTTGTCACATGGGCGTGGAGGACAGCATGTCACGTGGGCACCTTCCACAAGTGCTGCTGGCATTGTGTGGGGCAGAGTTCCTAGTTGCCTGGGTAGCCCTGCACCCAACGGGGCGTTTACCCGCCAGCCCAGCCTTCACTGCGACGTCCAGACCTCCCTCACCCACTGCGCACGCAACGCCCTGATTGGGAACCAGGCAGCTTGTAAAACACCTCTCCAACTCAGTGTTTCACCGGGATATGTGTGTGTGTGTGTGTGTGTGTGTGTGGTCCTTCTTTCCTTCAGTCATTACACGTGCAAAAAAGCAACGTGGATCTGATGAGAACAAAGCTTCGGCGCTTAGAAGAGGAAAACAGCAGAAAGGACCGGCAGATAGAGCAGCTTTTGGATCTGTCCCGAGTAAGTTCCTGGCCCTGCACGGCGGTGCCCCGAGGCAGGCGTGGGGCGTCACCGGCTCCTCTCAGTAGGCCAACCGGGGCGTGGCGGGGGGGCGGGGGCGGGCTAGACCACATCTTGTCTTCATTCCTCAATATACTTCCCACAGGGCCCGGATTTTGTTCGGACTCTGGCAGAGAGAAGGCCTGATACTGGCTGGGTGAGTAGAATCTCCAGCAAAACAGATAAACTGTCCACTGAAATCTTACCTTCAAAACAGCCTTTAGAGAGATAGCTTTTCTCTACAGCACTCATGCCGGAGGAGGAGCAGATCAGGGGAAGGGCTCGGACCTCCTGAAACCCTACTCCACGGAGCCGTAGGGATTACAAGAAGATGCTGGGGGGCTCTTAGTGGGAGTGGGAGGGAGGCTGAGCAGGCTTAGCACAAAGGCCGGAAATACACTGTAGAAAAAGGTCGTCACAGTGGGGGACTGAGCCCACCACACCTAAGAAAACACATCAGGCTTAACAAGTGATACGGATTTAAGACAGAGAAACAAAGCAGAAATAGAATTAGACCTTAAAACACATACAAACCCCTCTTGTGTGTTATGTAATAATACATAACAGATGGAATGAAACAAAAGTATGGCAGATGGAGCCATTATGGTTAATGCTATGGCCATAAACTATAGCAGGTGGAGAAAAATGTATCACAATAAACCTCACATGAGTCACGGAAGTATATCTTTTAAAAAAATCTGATGCGCTCAAAGAAAACGAAAAGGGTCCAATTTTGAGGTTACTGAGCACAAAAATCACATTAATGATGCAATTAATAATGGGTTTGATAACATAAACTTAAAATTTTTAATAAAAAGGGCTTCCCTGGTGGCGCAGTGGTTGAGAGTCCGCCTGCCGATGCAGGGGACACAGGTTCGAGCCCCGGTCCGGGAAGATCCCACATGCCGCGGAGCGGCTGGGCCCGTGAGCCATGGCCGCTGAGCCTGCGCGTCCGGAGCCTGTGCTCCGCAATGGGAGAGGACACAGCAGTGGGAGGCCCGCGTACCGCTCAAAAAAAAAAAAAAAAAAAGAGAAAGACTTGCCCGTGCGCACAAGGAGGACCGGCCGGGGGTTTCTGTAATAGCAAAAGTGGGTTACAAATTAAGCATCTATCAGTAGAGGAAAGGATAACTAGAATAACATCGATCTGTAGGAACGAGCAGGGACAGATCACCAAGATGGCCTATTGAGTGAAAAGAACAAGGTGCAGAATGACGTGGGGCGGGGGGGGGGCGCCATTTGTGTAAACAACAGCAAAATGCCGGACTTTCAGGGGCTGTGCGCACGTGTGTGCGCGTGTAATAAGGCCTAGAGAATGCACAGGAAGTTGATAACAGTATTTAGTTGACAGGGGTCAGCTCCAAGGGTATAGTGTCATCTATAATTTTTTTTCAAGAAATGTATTCATGTATTACTAGTATAATTAAAAATTACCGTAAAATCCAGTTAAAAAGTTGTTTGACTCTTCAAAAAGAAAGAAAGGGATATTCTTTCGGGAGTACAGGGTGTTATCTCCCAACGTGCCCCATGAACAGAGAACAGGAGGCATGGAGATGGAAGGGCGTCTCAAGGCCTCTGGCTGGCTGGCCGGCCGGCCTCCTCCAGGCCCGCTCCCTCCCAGGGGCGTGCTGGGGACCGGGGTGTCCTGGGCGGGCTAGGCTTGGTGAGTTTTGCATCCAGGGACTGAGGTGGCTTCCTCGAAGGTAACCGTGCAGCGTCCTGTCCTTCCTCCAGAGGGTGGCTGTGGAATGGGAGGGAGGGGATGGTGGCACCTTTTGAGTGGGAGCATCCCCCGTGGCCCCACTCGCCGGCCCCTCTGCTCTGAGCGGGCAGGACAGCCCGGCCCTGTCTCTCCAGCTGAGTCTGGAAGAGACGCCAGCACTGATGGGGAGGACAGCTAAGTAGGAAGGCACTGTGGCAGGAGGCTGTGCAGGTGCTGCCGGGTCAGCGGGCCGGGGCCACCCAACCCCGCCCGGGGAACGGGGCGGCTGAGCCCCTGGCGGGAGGGGGAGGGCGAGGCCACGGCCGCAGAGACGTCAGCTTGACGCGTCGTGTTGCCTTGGCAGGTGATCAGTGGGCTAAAGCAGCGGATTCTCAAGCTGGAGCAGCAGTGCAAGGAGAAGAGCCACACTATCGAGTACGGAGCCTCGGGGGGCCGGCCGGGGCCTGGGAGGGGGGGGCCCGCTGGGCGCGCGCCTGGCCTGCTTCCGGCTCCGCGCCCACGCTCGCTGTGCCCTCAGCTCCAGCTTCCGTTCCCACCCTGCCCCCACGTCTGTGTCCAGCATCGCCGTTCACCAAAACAGGAGCGTGAACAGCCGCGCCTCTTCCACCCGTCCCTAAGGAGCAGTGTTCCCCTTTCCTCTTTTCTTGTTCCTGTTCCACAGGAAGTGCTTTCTCTCCTTAGTCTTCTGTGGTCACTTTTCATCTCCAATATGAATTATATAGACCTTGATACAAGCCCTTAATGCTTGGACATCTCCCCTACCTGCTTCTCTCGCTGTCGTGCACTGTCCTGGTGCTGCTTT